AAAACAACTTGCCATGTAAAATCAAGTAAAAAAGATAAGTATTATTGCTTCGCAGTTACAAAGTGGGTAATCTATATGACCAGAATAATTAGATGATAATTCGACCTGAAATTTCGATTCTTTATACTCAGCTATATCAAGTAAATCCAATATAATTTGTGAGGTTGTTGATAGATGCAATGCTTTAACTGCATCACGAGATAACTATTCTTTTTTATCTCCCCTATATGAAAAAGAAATTTATGTATGCATTTCCTATTTTATTTTTATAAAATTCCACTTGGATCATATGCCCATTTCGTTTGGACACTTCATAAAGTATCTTTATATTAAAAACTTCTCTCATTAATTTGTAATATACTTTTTCTCTCGGATCCTTACTATGCTTTTCGAGCTCCATTGAAGTGTGGATAAAGTCATTAATAAAGGAGCTGTCTTCTTGATTACATTCCAGTGCCTGATGAATTTTTTTAAGTATAACTCCTTCCTACAAAAGTTTTCGCAATTCTGTCGTTGTTGCTGTATATGTAATATTTGTAGGCTCGGGGAGCTATTGCTCTGCAATAGATTTATCTGAATGAGTAAAGTTTGGAGTCCCTAATTTATTTACTGGGTCAGTAATATTTACTGATAAAATAATTTCAGATTGCGACTCATTCAATATTCGATTAGTAGCTTCTGTAGAGAAATGGGAACCATGAGTGGTAGAACTAGTATCGGACTACCTAGTTTTTGTTTTATTCTTTTTTCGAACCATATTGATTAAATATATATACAACTGATTCAAATTGATATTACATATAACAAATATAAAATATGAAACATATATTGACGAAAAATAACTATTGCTTCACAAGTATATAGTGCCTAATCATCATGAAATAGTAGGCCTTAGGGTGACTCGAAGAGTCATAAATAAAAGTCTAGATAAATTACCAAAGGCAGTCATAAAGTAGCTATATATAAATAAGTTATATATGAATTAATGACACACTGTGTCTACTTTGTTGAAACGAATAATCGATAAAAAATAGTTTGACTAGTCAAGTTTCGA